GATAGACTAAGAATTAAGAACGGATCGATTCAAGTCTATTTGGGGATAAATTTGAAGAAAGCGATGAATAAATGATTAAATAAGGGAGGAATTATGTGAATATGAATGAATATTGAATTGTGTAGTGTGTGTGTGTGTGTCTGTCTGTCTGTCTGTATGTGTTGTTTTTAGAATAGTTAGTAATTCAGTTTTCAAGTACTTCATTATTTAAATAAGAGGAACATTCATTATTCATTCATACATTTTGTTTTTCAAATGAGTAAAAAAGAAGAAAAAAGATTTTGTCTTTTTCTTTTTTGTAAGTACCATTGAATATTTATTAATTCATTATCAATTTTATAGTATTACTATGCTTATAAGGTTACAAATAATTATTTTTCCTGAATTGTAATTGATAAACATTCACTTTGAATTTTAGGTGAATTTTTCCTATGAGATTTTTTAAATGATTTATTAATCTGATAAGATTATCTATTATAATTTCTCAATTTTATCGTATTGCCAACTAAATTAACTTCGTACTAAGTAACATATAGTGTAATGGTTAAAAAAAAAAGGAAATTATTGTGGTAAGTTGAAATGAATTGATATTATTTTTGTGGTCATTTTAAACTATTGGATAAACTTGAAATAGATAACTGAATGTTTACAAAACGAACTTGGGGTCATTTTTGAAATTTGATAGAAGAAATAGCATGAAATAAAATGAGATTAATTTGACAGATTTTAATTTCATTGAAAGATCATTATTCCGGATCAGGTTTTTTTCTCCTCCTCTAGTGTTGTGTTTTTTTTTTCTTGTTTCCTTTTTTTTTTTTACGATAATAAGCGCAAAAATTGTCACCTGATGATAGACATCTTTTGCAATAAAACGAAATGAATTTAGGAACATTTTTGAAATTTAATGAAAGGTGACATGAAATAGAATCAGACTACATTTGGCAGATCTCAATTTAATGTATAAAACAGTGAATATCATCTTTCCAAAATTAAAAGGCATATTTAAATTAAGAGGCATATTTAAATATTAAAATTTGTCCATTAACAACTTAAGTTAGTTTTAGTTCCCTAATGCAATTGATAGCATAGCTTGTTTAATTAATGATTACTAAGTTTCCTAATGCAATTGATAGCATGGCTTTTTCTAATTAATGATTAGTAAGTTTCCTAATCCAATTGATAGCATAGCTTTGTCTAATTAATGATTAGTAAGTTTCCTAATCCAATTGATAGCATAGCTTTGTTTAATTAATGATTAGTAAGTTTATAATTTACACTAATTTTGATTAATTTTAATCGAATACAATCATTTTGGAAAAAATTAAATGAAGCGAAAGAAGAAAATGCCATAATGGCGAAACTTCGATAAAATAAAGAATGAGAAATTTTTGATAATTTAAAATGGCTCAAATTGGTGAAAATTATTCTCAAATTATCTTATCTTAGGAAATTGTTTACTTTTTCATTTTTACTAATTTTTACTTACTAATTTGTTTACTTTCAGTACGTTACTTATTTAGGATAATCTCTTGGCTTCTATTATATCATTTAAGAAGGCTAAATTTAGGATTACTTGAATCATTCAGGATCAAGCAAATAAATAGCGAAAAATAAAAACAAAAAAATTAGGATGGAAATTATTCAGTCAACAAGTATACGTCTGATTCAATAGCTATGATTTAAATTTTACTTTAACAGAATTTCCCAACAATGCGACACCGTACGTATGATGAACCGAAATCTTTTTTGAACTTTTTTTTTCACTTACTGTATTTGAGAAAAAAGTAACAGTTATATGAAAGTATGGTAACAGTAATATGAAAAAGAAAAAAGTACAGTAATATGAAGATATAAAATTAAATGGAAAATGAAATTTGAATGAAGCAATTTATTAGCACTATTTTGTTCATAACAATTGATAATGATAATAGTACCAATGATAGTATTGTTAGTATTGTTTATAGTAACTGATAATGATGATAGGTGTTAGTACTGATAATGATGATTATATAATACCTATCAAACTATTTATGGATTATATAAACATTTTAAATAGATGTTGTAATCGTTGGATTTATGGCTAGTATTTAATTAAGTATCCAATTATTAAATGTACTATTTAAGGTCATTGGTAGTTAAACATCTGCTATGGTAAACCTTACTTCCTTCAGCTGCTCCATTTTCAAATTCTTTAAAAATTATTTTCGGGCTAATTTTTTTTTTTTTTTTTGGTAATTGTGATTATATTTCATTTAATTTTAGAGAAATTTCATAATCATAAACATCTGCTTTGCGTGTGTAATGTAAAAATTTTAAAAGTAATTATTGAATTAATACATCTCTTTTAACCATTAAATTCCGTTTATTTTGATTCCTTAAATTCGTGTTTTTTTTTTACAAGTTATAATTACGTGTTATAATTATTTCAATATTAGTTTTTCATCAATTAACTTTTTGTTCAATTACTGTTAGAAATTTTATTTGGTTTCGTTTTTGAAATTCCGGTTAATTTCACTACAGTCTTTCTTCTGGATTCATTAACTTCAATTGAGTAAATAATGTTTTTGATGTTTTATAAATGAATCGTATATGTAAAAGCCGGAAATTTCGATCTTTAACGTGTTGCGTAATATCATAAACAATTAATCCGAAATCAAATTTCCTTTTCTTTTTTTTTTTTTTTTTAAATTGTAATAAATGAATTCAGGAATAAAAGGAAAAAAAAAGGAAGCAATGCAACGGTAAGAGAAGTGAAAGCAGAAATTCCAGAATTGGAAAAAGAAAGAAAAATTAAAGGAAAGGGAAGAAAAGAACCAAAAACAAAAAAAATAGAAACAAATGGTTTGGATAGATTATTTTGTATAAATCTATTACGGTACTTTTATATGCATCATACGGTAGCAACAACAACAATAACAACAATACCAACAACAACAACAGTAACAATAATAAAATCAACCATCCCAAACATTTATACTATCATTCCTTATTATTTCATCGTAATTATTATTGCTTTTGCACAATTAATCGATGCTGGAAGCACAAAACAACGATTTCAAAAAGGTGAAAGAAAATATTTAAAAGTTTTTTTCTTTTTAATTTTGATAAAATAATGATTTAAATTATTTAATTTTATCAATTCATTTAAAACTGTATTATATGTTTGTGCCGATATTAAAAAATCATAATTACCATTTATCAATTATATTGATTGAATTTATTTTTAATTTAAGGCTAACATTGTCGTTTTTGGTAGGCCAAATTATTTTTTGATTCGTTCATTCATTAATTAGCTTATCATTGATTGCTCGATAAGATTTGATTGCTGTTGCATTGATAAGAAATGAAATGTTCAGTTTTATGGCTTGTATATGATTAAGATAATCTTTTAAAACAAAACATTAGAAAATAAACTTTTAAATTTCAATCAAATAATTTTGAAAAGTGCAAATTTTAATTTTTAACAAGAAAGTTCAATTTTGGGAACTTTAATCCTTTATAAGTTTTGGTTTATTTTCTTCTTTTTTTTTAAAGTTCAAGTGAAAGTTAATATTGTTAACATAACTATTACCATTTCCAATATGAATCTCAGATCCTTACGATTCATATTTTCTAATATCTCTGATAACTTTTGTCACCTTAAATATTTCCCATTCATTACGTCTTTCTTTTTTTTTCATATCATTCGAATGTTTTGTTTAGAAGCGAAAAATTGGTTTGTGAAATATTTTATATTTAATTTTTAAAACTTTAATCCTTTATAGATTTTGTTTCTTTTTTTTTTCAAAGTTAAACTGAAAGTTAATATTGTTAACATCACTATTACCTTTTATTTCAACATATTTTTATTTACTTTTGCTAAGATAATTATTACCTTTTATTTCAACATTTAAATTTAAGTTTTAAATTCCTTATTGTAAATGTTTGTTTAATCTTTAATGAATTTATTTTACCATAATATTATCATTTTAAATTATCATTCTACATATTATTTCGAAGTTTGCACATACAATAAGAGTGAAATAAGTTTAATTTGAATAAGCAAAAAAAAAAAGACTGAAATATTTACATAAAATCCATTAATTGCTTCTTCCAGAGCATGGTATATCAGTGGTAATTGCAAAAAAAAAAAAAAAGAGACAGGGTGCCTGTCAAAGTTTTCTGATAAAAAACTTGGGGAACTTTTTTTTTT